ACTTCAACCTTCAGAGTGAGTTTGCACTCAGTTGTCATAAACTCCCAAACCAAGGGGATTTGTATTCTGAACCCCCACAATCACAAAATGTGTCACCACCACTATTTATAATCTGAATACATCCATGTAAAATTGTAATGCCTTTATACCATGCAGTAGCAAGAACTTAACATGTGACAGACCTCAGTATACTGACATTAGCAGAAAGCACAAATAACGCTCATATTCATGGATTGCAAGTTTCATCTTTGATTTTGGGGAAAACAAGGTGAAACTTTTGCCATAGAAAACAGAATTCCAATGATACTCAATGTAAGCAAAGTTATGTATTTGATTGGGTCAACTTCTGGTGGTAAGCGCATGCAAAAGTTCTAGTTCACAAGAGTTCTTTGTGAGGAACAAAAGTTCTGCAAATTGATTTCTAAGTAAAAACTATGACATCCTGCCCTCTCACCTTTCTGCAAAGCCCAGAATAAATGTGGATGGGCAGCACCCATCCTTGTGAAGAAAAGGAAACTTAACTGGATCATAGAACTGTAGAGTTGGAAGGGACCCTGAGGATCATCTAGTCCAACCTCCTGCGATGCAAGAATATGCAGCTGTCCCATACGGTGATCGAACCTGCAACTTTGGCGTTATCACCACCATGCTCTAGCCGACTGAGCTATCCAGCTAAGACAAAGTAGATCAGCCTTCCTCAACCTGGGGCCCTCCAGATGTGTTGGACTCCACCATCCCTGACCACTAGCCATGCTAGCTGGGACTGATGGAAGATGAACTCCAAAACATCCGAAGGGCATCAGGTTCAGGAAGGCTAGACTAGATAGCTGTACTAGACAGATGGGCACATGTACACAAAAAGCATTTTGTGGGGCTCAGCTAAATGAGGCTCTATATGTTCTAGACTCTTTCAAATCCTACTTTCAAAGATTTTCAGAAAAACGAAATTACAATTAAATATAGGAATGAACTTTCATCTACTGCAGCTCCTCTGACATTTACAAGAAATCTAAGCTTACAAAGGGCAGTGTGAACTACTCATGACTATGTCTCTGCTTTGCATCTAAGAGGGGCCTTGCAGAGATTATGGGAACAAGCTGGTATTTTGACAAAGATATATTGTTCCCCAATGAGAACATAGAAACTGGAAAACTACAAAACATGTTTTTTTTTGCGGGGAAAGGACCACATTTTTAAAATATTACAGTTCATTTCCTCGGAATAAACAAACTAATGAGCTAGAAGGCTACCAGGAGCAGTGAAACTACTAGCACATTTGCAGAGCTAAGCGGGGTCTGGTATGGTTTCAAATTGGATGGGGGACCCTGTATTGAGATTCTTGCATTGCAGGGGGTTGGACTAGATGACCCTCGGGGTCCCTTCCAACTACAGTTCTATGATTCTTACATGTGGCTTGCCACCTGTGATTGCACTGTTAAAGTATTCTTGTACTTTAAAAAAACAACAACTGGGATTTTAACACCGTTGATGAAATACTTCACTGGAGAAAAGCTGCATTCTGGGAGCTTAGAGGAAACAGTAGGAATGGGCCAGAGCTGATCCACCTGTGAATGTAATAAAAGCATCTGGCTCCTTTCCAGATAATTAAAAATATATATTAAAAAAAAACCCACACACTTCCCAGTGACAAAACACACTGCAAATGATATTTTGGAAAAATGGAAACCCTCCTCAAGAGAATTGCTGGATGAGAGGACATCTGGATCGCCTGCAACGTACGTGAACAACTGTTTTTCTACCGAATGGGAACATAATCTGTGAATGCACTATGTGTTGTGGTGGCTGGGCTCTAAACTAGGAACTGTTAAGCTACCCAAAGCTAGGTGTGTGCTCAGCTCATAGAGTGATATTCAGATAGCACCTTGGCTTTCTACTCTTGCCTGGTCAAGAGAGAAGAACCTCTTGCATTTTGGCAGTAACACCAGACCCTGAGTGCAGGAACTCTGAGTTGAAGACCTCAACTGTCAATGGCTCTTAATGGCCCAGACACCATAAACCCTTTTTACAAAACAATTCCACACACAGCATTCCCATGTGGAAGGGGAGGTGGGACGGCAGAGATCATAACAGAGGAAGTAACTGCAAGGCCGGATCCCATTCACCTCCCCATACGCTTTTATCCAACGCAGAATTGTAGTGTGAAACCTGTTCAAGTGTTAATCAAAGTGAAATTATTTTATTTTCTTTTAATTTAGCGTGAAAAACATCTTAGGAAGCTCAATCGATCAAACCTTTGTGGCAGTCCACATGAGAACTTTGCAGAGTCTTATATTTCCCCATGTGTAAGCAGTAGGAAACAAGTAGGACCTGCAGCAAGATTCCCAGTCTCCCAGTTTTCCATTATCGCCCACCCACACCCTCTAGCACTTAATATCCACACCCACTGAGAATGGCTAGTCTTCAGTGAACTGCTTTGGGAGGGTTCCCCCTTGGCTTCCCCCCCATAAATATCATTTGTACTTCCACCAACCTTAGGGTTCCCTCAGTCTGCTGATACCTCCTGTGTGTTTGTGTTGTGTTTTGTGTGTGTTTTCTAGTTACAACAGTAGTGACACTGGATTGTTACTAGAGTATACATGAGGTACTCTATGTGAAGTACATGACAATCTCCGTGTGACACCTTTTCAAAGCTGCTGAAAGCAGCACCCCGTGTAAAATAACTATTTCTGTTTTTTTAAAATAATCTTTCACAAAGGACATTCTTCTTAATCACTCCAACTTAACAACAACAACAACAACAACAACAACAACAACAACAACCCATTTTTCACCAGAAGGTCACAGGGTAGGTTGCAGCAATACAAATTACAGCATTGAGAACAATTTAAAACAAATTATAATCACAACAGAGTGGGTTGTAAGAATATGCATCTCTCGTGTCAATGGCCAGTAAAGGACTGGAGGTGGAAGAGAGCAGGATGGGAAAAAGAAAAACTTTCAAAAACAGCCTACTACAATCTTCATCCATCTTTTCTAGACAGAGTACATGACTGCCTTTTAGAAAACATGTAACTCTTGAATGCATAATCACTTAAAGAATGACCTGTTTTAAAAATCTGCCCTAAACTCAATAGTTTGTTGAATCATTATAATATAAATACAAAAAAATCTATGTTCTGAGAAACAGCGACCTTTTTTTTTGTCTTGCAATTGCAGTTAAAGGACACCGTACCAGATATATACAGATTTCTGAGAACAAAATAAAAAGAATTTATATTAAAAAGCATGCGACAATGGAATGCCCATTATATTTACAATTTAATTAAATAATTCTTGAGATTTTGACTTATGAGACTTAAAAATTTAGCGCTGATGGGGAGAGGATGGAGTAGATGCACTGCAAATAAGGTTCTTTGAAAAGGCATATCTGTTCTGACACTTCCACTGAGCCACAAAACGGCTGGAGAAGCAGAACATCAGACACTCGATATAAATCACTGATCTTTCACCTCTTAGGACACTTTCCCATTCAAACTGTGCCTGCAAATGAGTTCCAAGCTTAATATAAAGAGAACTTAAATTAGAAATCCACCACCACCGGCATAATTCATTTCAAGGCAACGGCCCAGCTTACATCCCAAGGTTGAGTTGGTCTGGCAACTCTATTACAATCTTTCACCTGGCAAAAGAGGTGCTTAGTGACAATACGCTACAGTTATACCTACAGTTTCCTGCCAATCCATGGAAAATCTGTGTTATTCCTCCCTTCTGCTCCCACACATTTCCTCTATTTGGACATTGTTTGGAGCCAGGACACTTGGCCAAGCACTTGTCAACCTAGCACAAAGTGCCTAATATATGCTTATGTGCAGTGCTTTTTTTCAGCTGGAGCGCAGTTCTGGCACCCCTCGGGTGGGCACCATTGCAGGCCGGTGCTCCCCCTGCCCACTTCTTGCCTTTACGCACTTCTGAGAAGCCCAAAATGAACATTTCAAGTCAAAAGGGAAGCTGGCCAGCATGTGTGAGTCTACACTTTTCTTTAGATCTATGACTCCATGGAGTTTTCTTGGCAGGGATACTGGAGTGGCTTGCCGGTTCCTGCTCCAGGTGGATCACGTTTGGTCAAAACTCTCCACTATGACCTTTCCATCTTGGGTGGCCCTGCACGGCATAGCTCATAGCTTCTCTGAGTTATTATTTTGACCAAACTGCGGGAGGCAGTGGAAGACAGGAGTGCCTGGCGTGCTCTGGTCCACGGGGTCACGAAGAGTCGGACACGACTAAACGACTGAACAACAACAATGACTCCACCTAGCTCCTAGTCCCTCCTAGCCACATTTGTTCAAGCTACAGGGCAGGGCCAATTTGTATTTCCTTTTCTTCAATCCATCTCCCATGTAGCAGCAGCGGTCTTTAAGCTTTCCAGACAGGCCACACACACGTGTGTTTATGTGAGGGCCCTTTGGAGCTGCCCTAGCCACTTGCCTGAATCTAAGAGAACAAGGAAAGCACAGGTGCATTTATTTGACCAGTATCAAAACCAAGGGCGACCCCCCAAACCAGCTAGGGAGACAGCTTGCTGTAGATTTTAGCACCTTTGCAGGTGGTGAACACAGCTGTTGTCTAACAGGCATCTGTTTAAGGCTGCCCCAAGTCGCCTAGCAACTTACTGTAACAACTTCATGGTGAGTTCAGGAACTTATTTTTTCTTGGGCGGAAAAGCACTGCTTATTGTGTAGCCTGTGTGGTGTAGTGGTTAAAAGCGGTAGTCTTGTAATCTGGTGAACCGGGTTCACGTCTCTGCTCCTCCACATGCAGCTGCTGGGTGACCTTGGGCTAGTCACACTTCTTTGAAGTCTCTCAGCCCCACTCACCTCACAGAGTGTTTGTTGTGGGGGAGGAGGGGAAAGGAGAATGTTAGCTGCCTTGAGACTCCTTCGGGTAGTGATAAAGTGGGATATCAAATCCAAACTCCTCTTCTTCTCTGTGTTTCTTTTAAAGTCAGGACAACTTGCTGGAACCAGGGTTCCACGACAGCAGCAAGCTCAGTTGGTACAGCATGAGACTCCGAATCTCAGGGCCATGGGTTCGAGCTCCACATTGGGCAAAAGATTCCTGCATTGCAGGGGGTTGGACTAGGTGACCCTTGTGGTCCCTTCCAACTCTACAACTCGATGGTTCTATATCTTGGCTTCAACAGATGAAAGCAGTGTGTTCATTCCTCCCACTAAGAAGTGCTAAACAAATGGTCTCTGCTTCTCTGTAAGTGAATGCAAGGGAGACTTCCCTAGAGAGGTGCAGGTAGTTTTGGCCCCTCTTAACTGGAGTCCAGTTCTAAAGAAGTAATTTCACTCTGGAAAGCAGAATTTTCAGTGCTGTCACTGGACATGATGCTCATTTTGAGCCAGGGTGGGGGGAGTGAGGTGGCACGGGAAGGGAACAAGTTGTTGTACAGAGTTAAATGATCTTCAGATAAATAAGTACACGCCTTTATTTGAGGTTTTAGTAACTACCATGGGTTTACTTATTAAATGCCCCAAATTAAATCTTTAAGGATATTCTGATTTCAACAGGACTAGGCAGGCTTAATTCCAAGGAGCCTGGCTTAACTGTTTTATAGAACAGGCTGTGCACCAGTCATTTAAAGTATGACTTCAAAAATACACAGCTGGAGCTGCTATAGGCATCTCTGGTTTATTTCGAGAAATTCATTGCAGGGGTTGTCAAGAATGCCAGGCTGAGTGGAAAGATTACCGAGCTGCAGAGGGGGGGGGGGGAACATTCTTGTTTTTATTTTAGCAGCAGGCAATACAAGGCTGATCTCATGGTTAAAAGAGGAATTTGCTAATCCAGGATCAGTGAAGCAGCATATTTTCATTTCGTGGAATGGAGAAGAGGGATTTGCTTGTCAGGTGTTTCTCCAGAAACATTTGTTTGTGAGAGCGCAGGGAGGCAGGAAAGTCCCCGACATTATTTTTGGGAGAAGGCGGTCCCCTGAAGGTTGCTGGCATCTGTTCTGATGGGTTGCTCTGGAGATTTACCTGCCGTTGCTTTGCCAGAAGAGGAGGCTGTGTAGCTAAGCACAGCACTATTTTCTGGCAACAAGAGCTGCACCATGAGGGGGGCAAACCACCAACAAAAATAGAAAAAGCAACTGCTGAACAAATAGATACATTTTCTAATTTTACAGATACCTAAAGATCTCCCCTCAGCTGGCTTACACATAATGTATAGATATATAAATACATGTATTTATGCATGTATCGTGCATGCATGTGTGTATTCACACATTGCTTCTACAGTAGCAAATGGCACTTCTATGCCTTCTCGTGAGGCCAAACACTGAGACCTTCTGTCCTATTCCATAACTATCAACCTTAGTCAATCAGTTATTCTGATTATTGAATCAGCTACTTTAAATACCGTATTGGCCCGAATATAAGCCACACTTATACACCAACCCCGAAGGCCAGCTGCACTATATTATTTTCCATTCAGCAGCCTAACAGCCCATGGATAGAAACTGTTTTTTGGCCTGTTGGTACCACTGATTATACTTCTACATCTCCTGCCCGAGGGTAGAAGATTAAAGAGGTGCTGGCCAGGGTGTGAATCGTCCCTGAGAATTTTTCTCGCTCTAAGGCAACGATCCCTTGCAATGTCATCTAGCGGGCTCAGGGGATAGCCCATGATATCATATGCTGTGTTCACCACCCTCTGTAAAGACTTTCTGTCCGTGGCTGTCAAGCCAACGTATCACACTGTGATACAATACAAGAGGACACTTTCTATTGTGGACCGGTAGAAGGAGGTCATCAATTGTTGTTTAACATTGTTCTTTTGCAAGACCCCGAGTCTCTGTTGGGCCTTCCTAACCACCTGAGTTTAATTGTTTTTCCAAGTGAGGTCTTCACTAAGGTAAACTCCAGGGAATTTAAAGGAAGAGACTCTCTCCACACAACCCCCCTTGATATACAATGGGGCTAGTTCCCCTCTCTTCCTCCGAACATCCAACACCATCTCCTTTGTCTTGCTAATATTTAGGTGCAAGTTATTCTCTAAGCACCATGTAGATACTTTGTGAACCTCCCCCCGTATGCTGATTCATCTCCACCTGTAAATAGACCTATTACGGAAGTATCTGCTGAGATTACCTGGGGTAAAGAGCAGCAAAGGCAGGTTAGGTGTTGCAGCACCACGGAGAGTTCCAGGTGAGCCACTCACTCCAAAAAGAGGCTAGAGGTGGACTGAGGCCTTTTGAGTCTCTTCCTCCAGCCTATTTCTCATAGGCGCCAGTCCCCTTGTGTGAACTGCAGCCCTTAAAGTGCTGAAGACATTTATTTCTTTGACAATCCCTGGCCTTTGGCCTGTGTGCTTCCTGTGCCATTGGACAGGCAAGGTAGATTAGTTCCTCAGGGCCAGAGGAAGGTGTCCATGAGGGTCCCAGTTCTATGGGATCTGGTTTAGGGTTTTCTTGCCCACCAGCATCTGATTTAGTGGCTCCCTGGTCACCAGCATCAGGCTCAGAGCCTGAGTCCCTAGCTAGTGACTTCGCAGCATCAGATTACTGATAGAGTCTGGGGTCATGACAGAATCCAGAGGTCCCAGGAAACCATCATCGTTATTAGCCAGCAATAGATCTCCCCTGCATAAAACCATCTAACCATGGGTCTAAGTTGCGCAGACTCATACCATGTCCAGCCAAGGAATTATCAGAATCTGGCCTATAATGTAGCAAGGAGGAGCAATTACCTTCCCCAAAAAGCATCCACAACACATCTCTTAAGAAGAAGAAGAAGAAGAAGAAGAAGAAGAAGGGGAGTTTGGATTTGATATCCTGCTTTATCACTACCTGAAGGAGTCTCAAAGCGGCTAACATTCTCCTTTCCCTTCCTCCCCCACAACAAACACTCTGTGAGGTGCGTGAGGCTTTGAGACTTCAGAGAAGTGGGACTGGCCCAAGGTCACCCAGCAGCTGCATGTGAAGGAGCGGAGACGCGAACCCAGTTCACCAGATTACGAGTCCACTGCCCTTAACCACACTGGCTCTCTCACACAGACCTTTAGGGAGGCCTGCCTCACACGTTGAGGAGCCATGTATAGACCAAGTTGTTAGCACTCTCTCATACCAAGTTAACAAGAGTTCAAAACACTCCACATATCAAATAACTGTATTCTGTCAGAGTATCACCTAACTAATGGATTAAAAAAAATTCCTTTGATATTATATATTTTTTTAAAATTCTCCAATATCTTCAGTGAACACCTTGAATTCAAATAGTGCTTGCAAGTTCTTACTGGATAATTAAACCTTCATTTCCTCGTCGCTATGTACAAGAAGAAATTGCTAATTTAAGCCTTTTCCCCAAAAGATAACAGTTTGCACTAATGTGCCCAGGCAATGCTCCTTGCAAATGGGAGAAACTTAAAAGGTCAAATTCCATTGTAACTTCAAAAGGAAACACACATATACCTAGTAGCAAATCGCAACCTTTACATTGCAAACTAGCTGATCTCTTCCAAAGTTCTCATTCAGCCTTTACAAAGTACAATGTGTGGTTTTTTGGTTTTTTTTTTAAAAAATAGTTGGGTAACTAATAATCATGTTGCCATCCAATCTCTGTGCATATTAAGCTGCTAAAATGATCTTTTCCAACTCTGTCATCCTATGTAGGTGGTGTTGGTTGCAGTTGTGTACTTGTAATGGAGAATGTTGTTTTCAATTGCACACGCGGCATGAGTCTATTCAAGTCACGAGGCTTGGTTTCCAGACCCTTGATCGCCTTAGTTGCCCTCCTCTGCACATATTCCAGCTTGTCAATGTAGTTCCTAAACTGTGGTGCCCAGAATTGGGCACGGTATTCCAGGTGTGGTCTGACCAAGGCAATTGAGGAGTTTTATCTTCAAAATGCATCATGGAAATGAGGCAGGGATTGTGTTATTGGGGCTGAGATCTGGAACTTTTGTCATGGGTCCTATATGTCTTGACCCTTTTTCTTCTCCCACTTTTAAAATCCATTTTTTAAAAACCCCTTTGCTTGCAGGGCATGCTGCCAAGTTCAGTCACTCATGGCCATGATCTGCCCAGAGGCAAGCTTGTGTCATTGGCTTGTCCCTCAAGCATTTTAAGACCCTAGCAACACCACTTTAATAAGTACCTAGGTATGCCTCCTAGACCAAGCAACTTTCACAAGCAGTAAACCACACGGCACACCAGAGACATTACTAGAAATGTGTGCCAATTCCTGCATGTAGCCACAGTGGAGAATTATTTGAATCAATAGTGATTAAGAAGGAAAGAATGCTATATAATCAATCACTATACATAAGTGCCTTGAAAAGCTATGATGTGGATGTCAGGGACCTACCGGATTTCATATTATTATTCTGCATTAACACAACAGTCATTTGCCTTTGTTTACCCCACAGGAAATTTTCTCCTCTGTCTGTCATAAATTACAGAAGATCAACTAAGCTTGGCTTTTTCTTTTTGGAGGGTGGGACAAGTAGGAAGATTGATCCCCCCCCCCATTTTGAATACAGTATACACCTGCCATTAAAGGCTTATTTAAGCTTATGTTTCAGAAAAATGGTGCTACAGGCATCTGCAGAAGGAATGAACACTGTGGTTCTCAGAGACGAAAAACAAGCTTTCCAAATAGCACCTATGATTCTAAAGTCTGTGCGTTAGTCATCAGTCAAAAATGTTCTCACGACAAATCACGCAGTTGTTTCCCCCTCCTAAAGTTATTGAAATACAAACATAGGAAATGGTGTTTTTTATGTCTGGTATACGTGGAACTAAAAATGGGATTCCCCTTCTTTCAGAAGAAAATGGCAGTTCTTGAAATGCATATTGGAAGTTACATAAAGATGTTTTCGAGGGATGGTTAATGTCTGCTGTTTGTCTGCTTGACAGATAACCCATTTTGTTTTCTAGCAGAAAGAGAGTAATTCAAAACAATCCTTGATTTATCCTGCTACGTTAAAAAAGGGGGGGAACGATACTTTCAAAACCGTGGCGTAATTTGAACTGTACCTGTCCAATTGACACCAACCGTGGTTTTAAATGTGGCTGGTAGGTTAATGAGTGGGGCAGCTTGATGGTCCCACACGTCTCCAGTCCTAAAAGTGCTGCACTGATACCACTGAGTTGCTGGACCCAAGAGAAGTGAAGTTACAGGGAACCAGGCAGAGGGCCTTCTGAGTAGTGGTGCCCTCCCTGTGGAACGCCCTCCCATCAGATGCCAAACAGATAATCAACTACAGAACTTTCCGAAGGCATCTGAAGGTAGCCCTGTATCAGGAAGTTTTTAATGTTTGATGTTTTGCTGTGTTTTTATTATGTTTGAAACCACCCAGAGTGGCTGTAGTGACCCAGTCTGATGAGCATAAGTAATTTATTTGTAGCAGTAGTAGTTTGGGATCCAAATACCAAAAAGAGCATCTCCCCCAATATTAACCATCTCAAGTCATATAGTGGGCAGAAGCCAACTCCAATCCTGCCACTAACCTTCTTTTTCTCAAGCATGATGTTCTGCCTGGTTCAAACTCCCCCTACTGCCTCTGGCCCCCTGGATCCTGATTTGCCTTTCTCTGGAACTCAGCCTTGCCCAACTTAGAATCATGGAATCATAGAGTTAGAAGGGACCACGAAGGCCTGGTCCAATCCCCTGCAATGCAGGAATCTTTTGCCCAACGTGGGGCTCAAACCCCATGTTGAGATTAAGAGTCTCATGCTCTGTCAACTGAGCTATACCTTGGATAGTAATTGTTCCTCTATCCATTTCCTGGACCAGGGGCCAGCTTCCCTGGGTTGGGGACTTAACCCAAGGGGAGCAGACCCCTAGCTGCTAAAATGGGATGTGTCTTTTGCCTAATGGTCTCTGTGCACCTGCAAAGTACCTCTGCATCACTACTGATCAGCAGAAACCAAGGCATTCGTGTATCGACATTACTAAGAAATGCTCCAATGCTTCAGAACCTACGCAGACATAAAACACACAGAAAGCTAATTAACAGGTGGAAAAAAGATTTCAACGTAAAGCAAGGCAGTTTCTAATTTGCATCTATTCAACCCGCATCCCCATACAGCACATCCCAAACTCCCAAACACAACCCACATGTGTATGTATTTATTTGCTCATATTCCTTTTTTGAGCTTTGGACATCCATTCTAGTTTCATCTTAGTCCTGGGATGGGGAACCTATGGTCCTCAGTCTGCTTTTGGACTCAGTCTCACGTAGCATGGCCAACATTCAGGTTGATGGGAGTTGCAGTCCAACAGGATAGGGTGGGCCATAGGCCATCTCTGCCTCAGCATAAAGAAGTAAATCCCAGGATCTTGCTTCAAAGTAATTGAAGGAACATCTACCGTACTCCCATATGCTGCTGCCCATGCACTAAAGTTATGTTCCCAGAAGCTTCTCTGGTATCTGCTTCCGCTAGCTGAGGTGAGGCTGGTAATAGCTGGAAGGATGCATGTTTTTGCCCATGGCACCCCATTTATGGAAGCCACTCTTTGGGGAAACTTGCCTGTCACCTATGCTAATGTCTTTTCACTACCAAGCACTTTTCACTACCAATGTCTTTTTTATTTTTCCCAGGCTCTCACCACCTGATTTGACTGTTTTATCCTGCTGTTTTATTTATTACTTTTGTTCTATTGTGGGTTGTTGTTGTTTTTTACAATTGTGCTGTTGTTATCACCCTTTATTGGGTGATTATTTATTGAAGGGTAGTATACAAATTGTGGGGCTAAAACAGATTATTGCTATCTGCATTCGTACTACTAGGCTGTCCATTAAAAGATGAAATGTTGACATCTCTGCGACACAAATGCTATAGATGGGGGGGGGGAATCATAGTGTTATTAATGTCTTGCCATGTTTACCATTCCCTGGGGCCCTGTTAAAAGTGTATTTGTTCTGCTTGCTTCTGTTTCTTCATGTTCACTTAAAAAAAAAAGTTTTTAGCATCTGTCCTTGAGTCTCCTCATCTCACACTGTCATCTTTTTCAGAATTTGAATTCCTTCTCTCTACACCTGCTGATCTGTGAATTTACTCTTAATTCAAATACTGCACCTTCATCTTTCGTTTTAGTTATCCTCGTACTACAGACGGAATCTTCAAATGTTTTGTAATCAAAGATTGGTGCAGGTATTCAGCAATGGCAGGGACATGTCTATAGGCATAGGATTCCTACTGAATATGGATTATGCACAGGCAAACTATAGGGACGGCGAGGAAATAAATCCATGCCGTGCTGCACAGTAATGCTGGCTATATATTATTTTTCAGGTTTACCCAGAGATAATGTTAATGTATTTTCTGATTTTCCTCTCTCTCTCTCCCCCCATACGCATAATTTAATAACTAACTCAGTGACTGTAAATGAAAAACTGGCATAGAGTTTGCAAACAAATCTGGCGTACACGGGAGGCACATTAAGGACTAATTTTCCTCTTTAGAATTTTAACATGCACAAAAGCACGAACTCGTAAAAAGCAACATGGCAATGCAACATCAGTAACGTTCTGCAGGCGTGCACAATGCAAATAAAAATCAATAAAAGACAACTGAATAATGCTAATTAAAGCGTGATTTAATCAGCTAGCAGTTCTGAAATTTCAAAAAATAAGAAACAACGCTGCATCAGAGCAAAACATGACAAGTAAATATTCCGTCTCTGCTTTAAGATGATATACTTGCTAAAAGTATTTGCTAAAGCTACAAGCTGATACGACTGGTGCCTCTACTGAAGCCCTGGTTGATCTGTACCTGGATGGCCCAGGCTGTTGACACAGTTGCCTTCTCCTGCTTGATAAAGCCTGCCCGGCTTCTTGGTACACACCAGAGCTGGGTACAATGAAATGAGCTGGCAAATGGCTTGAACCCAAGTGGAGGAAAATTCCAAATGAACACCTCTGGACTCTAGTGGTGCTCACTACTGAGTCTTCTTGGTGGCAGGGAAAGCGGAGCAGACGTATTTTGCTGTTTTCATGGCATCCTCACTAGGCAATTCCGAGCTTTTTCTGGATAGCCTGAGGCCTTTCACATTCTGGCCTAAAGGAGAGGGAAGATCTAGCGGTGGCCCACTGTGACTTACTTGTGAATCATTTTGAGGATAAAATCACTTGCATCTGCAGGGACTGGGACTCTACTACTACAGCAGGCAAACCTCAGGAGGTATCTAGTGCACCATCTAGTCTTGTTTTGTGGGAGAAATTTCTACTAGTACGGCATGAGGATGTGGACAAGGCGCTTAGATAATTGCAGGTGACTACATGAGAAGAGAAGACTCCCTGGAAAAGTCCCTGATGTTGGGAAAGATTGAGGGCACAAGGAGAAGGGGACGACAGAGGACAAGATGATTGGACAGTGTTCTCGAAACTGCCAACATGAGTTTGACCAAACTGTGGGAGGCAGTGGAAGACAGGAGTACCTGGCGTACTCTGGTCCATGGGGTCACGAAGAGTCGGACATAACTAAACGCCTAAACAACAACAACATGTGCTCTCTGGATCCTTGCTCCAAGTTATGGGTGACTACAACTAGCAAGGAGGGTACTGCTGGGCAGGGAAGGGAGTAATTCTGATATGTAGCCTTCCCACAACCCAAGGCAATGCACACCTTGGGCTAAAAAGGTTTCCCTACCAAACCCACACCTGCCTTCTTATACCATACCAGTGTATAATTACTGGATTCTTACGAAGCAGAATACTTTCATTCTCCTCTTCTGTTGCTGCTAAGGCCTTTGGCAGGCTTGTAGTGTTTCTTTCCTTGAATTATTTCCTTTCCTGTCTCTGAAGTTGTGCCCTTCTTCAAAACTCCAGCTGTTATCTGAAGGAGCAACGTGCAATTGCCCTATCGATCTCCACCACAGAACGTGTGCTAGGAGCTACCTTGCTAGAGATACATTTGCTTTGCTGGTTGGCATTTCCCTGTTGCACAGCTAGGAGCTTTCCTCTCTCCCCTGGATATCTCTTCCCTCAAAGGAACACAGTGTGCTGCTGGAGATGCGTGAGATCCTAACAGGCAGTAGTCCCACTAAGAGGAAGGTAATGTCCCACAGCAGTCTGTTTGGGATCAAAATGTCCTGTCTCATATCAGCTACGCTTCTGAGAACAGATTCTTCTTCTCCAAATCAATTTTAAAAGTATCATTTGGCATCACTTCATGTGATGGAAGCCTAAAGATATCAGAATTGTCTCTCCCTTCTAGTTCACCAATCCTCAACCAGTGAGATGCATCAGAAGAGCAGAGTCTTCAGAGATTTCCTGCTCCCAGCTACCTCCAGAGACCTCTGTTAAGGGGAAAAGACTCCTCTCCCACACAGTTCAAAGTAATGAAGTGTTTATTGACTCCACTCGCAAAACAAAGCTAAACACTACTATCTACTACACCCTATTTTCAGCTCCTCTGGTCTTTGAAGTAAATATACATATACACAGAGAGATCCGCTAACACGATCACCATGCCAGCTGTATCAAATCCACAGCCTCTTCCCCTGACTCTCACAGATTCAGAGTCAGACCCTGACAGCACATAGGCCAGGACAAGCATCTTGCTGTTCATAGACTAGGCAGGTCACTGCTTGACCCAGTAAGGATACTACACTTGATCTTAGCCAAAAGGCCGAGAAGCGATACTGTAACCCAGTAAAGATAGCTGTTACTAGGAAAGAAGAAAGCAAACATTAAAGATTAAAAAATGCTGGCAAAACCCCTGAGTTTTGGAGCCCCTCTGCATGCTTCGCTTCCCATGCAGTTTTTATCTGGCTTCTGTTTATTTCCTTATTTCTCGACTACTGTGTTACAGTAGTCCATTTTGCTGGGTTCCACCTCTGCAGCAGCTATGCCCAAGGGGCAGGTAAAACCATCCTCTTGTATTGTTTGTATATCCATTTTTATAGTGTGCAAAGCTCTTTGTGATCCTTCAGGTTGAAAGACGCTATAAAAGTGTCATTTATTTTTTTATTATTATCTTTATAGCTATGGAATATGACAGAAGCGCTGCTCGAAACGTACAACAAACAGGATACTGTGCACCTCTCAGACAGATGTGGTGCACGGCAAATCATCTAATACACTGGTGAAGGAGCTGCAATGCCCTTATATGTTTGTTTGTTTGTTTGTTTGTTTGGTTGGTTGGTTCAGTTGATTTGCTGGGAGTATCCGTTTGTCAGCCAGGTGGCATCCCTATTGGGGAGAAACACAATTATGCATGGTGATCAAAATATAGTCATTCGGATTGCTTGTGAGAGCCAGGCTCAGAAACATTCTAGGTCCGTTCCCTGCAAGTTCGCATTTCTTTCTTTAAAGATAAGCCTTCTCTTTAAAGAGACTGGGCAAAGCATTCTAACCAGCTGTTCAAAAAGCTCCTAGCTCCTAGCTGTCCTTGTCAATGAATGAGGAGGCACTGGTGTAACTAACAAGCATCTGGTAAACTGACACGTTTTGAAAGTTGTTATTAAAATATTGATTTTATTAACAAATAATAAGTTAGCTGAGCCAAAATGGACTTTCCAGGCACCATCAATCACCCTATTGTTGGTGCCTGCAAAGTGCTATGACAGCCTTGCAGCCCAGTCCATAACAGTCTGAAAAACACTTCTCAACAGGGCCAATGATCATGGGGTCTTGTGAAGCCCCGTGCAAGGCGTTCAGCTGATTTATTGCATCTTGCGGAGTGCTACATACTGGGATTCAGAAGCTCCGACAATCAGCTGATCGTTGGTGCCTTGCAAGCCATATCTTTGCTTGCAATCTGATGCATTGCGATCTCAGATTTCCTTCGAAGCAAACCCACTAAAGTTAATGTGCCTATGTCGGCCATGTCCATTAATTTCAACGGGTCTACTCTGAGCACAACTAACGTTGGATGCAACCACCTGTTTCCAAACTAAATATCTATGCTCTGAGCTGCAGTTTGCACAGGCACACAAGTTCTGATACTTGAGACTGCGCTGAGGCCACACAGATTATTTTTTGGCTATCCAAACCGACTGGTAAAAGGGTCAGCAAACTTTTTCAGCAGGGGGCCAATCCACTGTCCCTCAGACCTTGTGAAGGGGCTGGACTATATTTTTTGGGGGGGCGATGAACGAATTCCTATGCCCCACAAATAACTCAGAGATGCATTTTAAATAAAAGGACACATTCTACTCGTGTAAAAACAGGTTGATTCCTGGACTGTCCGCAGGCCGGATTTAGAAGGTGATTGGGCCGGATCTGGCCCCCGGGCCTCGGTTTGCCTACCAATGGAAAGCTATCTGCTGCCACTGACGGCTCTGAGCTATGTCACGTGGCATGCACCTCTGAGAAGAAACAGTTTAGGACACACTTATTTTAGTACCTTACATGGCACAACCTGAAGTGCTGTATCCCAATGACATTGAAATCTCACTGTAAGGAAAGATTTGAAGGATGCATTATCCTAACTAGCCTCTCCTGGGCTAACCTTTTATACACAGTGGTGGGTGCTGTCAGGTGTCTTTACAAGTCCAGACCTAAAACTAAAAGAGAACAATGATGGCTGGGTGGGAGTGCTTGACATTCTTCTGATGTGAAATGCAAAGCCCTCAGCCGCCAACTGGCTTGATATCTGCTCTGCAGCTCGCTGCAGAAATGAAACAACAGCTATCTTTAGGATAGTCAGAAGGGATGGGCGTAATAAAGCTGTGCTTAGTACTTCTCTGTGTTTTACAGCGTTGAGCACTGCACAAACATTAACTAATTAGCAAAGCATTTCACAATGCCCGTGAGAGACAGGTCAGTAGTAATTTATTGAGTCAGACAGGCTAATGCAGGAGAGCTGATTTGCTCTGAAAAGTGTCTAAAAAACCTGGCACAGTGGGTGTGTTGTTATCAGAACCAGATGTTTAAAATAAAATGTTCTTCATTTGCAAGTCAAAATAAAACAACAATAATAGTAATAATCCACTGCACCCTGTGAATCCTAAATATTAACCCTGGGCATAGAAAGTCATTTGTGTTCGCTTCTAAAGAATAATTATGAGCAATAAAGGTTATGATAGGGCAGATTATGACCTCATTTGTAGTCATGCAGTTCCCTTTATATGTGCTCCTTTTTTCAGCCAAGAAATTGCTATGGCTTCAATGGGAACTGCAGGGCATTCTGAATTCCTTACTGCTAAACCACATTTTATTCTCAATCCTAATTGGTCCCCTTTCCAGCACACTTCCTTCATTACTGCCCGATGGGCCTGTTTCTCCAGAGGCAAGAATTTCCAGTCTGACCCAATCAATCAAAAACAAAAGAAACCACACCACCAAAATGTCTTTCTGGAGAGCATCCCAAATACTTGTCTGGTCCTAAAATCCTACAGATGCAGGCAATTCACACCTGGCCAAAACCCCATTCCCATCAAATCTTCATTGTACACAAGCTATTAATGCTTTATGGCAGTGCCTCTCAGGATTGATAAGACATTCCAGAAATTTCAAGCCTCTGTCAAAGATACTGGGGCATTATTGAGAGAAAAAAGAGAATCATAGAATTGTAGAGTTGGAAAGCACCCCAAGCGTAATCTAGTCCAGCCCCCTGAAATGAAGGAACCTCAACTAAAGCATCCATGACAGATGGCCATCCAACATCTGCTTAAAAACCTCCAAGGGAGGAGAGGAAGGCTGTTCCACCATCAAACACCTTTTACCATCAGAAAGCCCTTCCTGATATTTAGTCAGAATCGCCTTTCTTTTAACTTGAATCCATTCATTTGGGTCTTGGCCTCCGGAACAAGCTTGCTCCATCTTCCATGTAATAGCCCTTTAGATGTTTGAAGATGGCTATCATATATCCCAGGGGTCAGCAAACTTTTTCAGCAGGGGGCCGGTCCACTGTCCCTCAGACCTTGTGGGGGGGCCAGACTACATTTTGAAAAAAATATGAACGAATTCCTATGCCCCACAAATAACCCGGTGATGCCTTTTAAATAATAGCACACATTCTACTCATGTAAAAACACCAGGCAGGCCCCACAAATAACCCAGAGACGCATTTTAAATAAAATGACATATTCTACTCATGTAAAAACACACTGATTCCCGGACCGTCCACGAGCCGGATTGAGAAAGTGATTGGGCCAGATCCGGCCCCCAGGCCTTAGTTTGCCTACCCATGATATATCCTCTCAACCAGGGTTTGTTTCCCTGTTGACGAAAACAACCAGCGAAAGCAGAGATAAAAGCTGGCTCTCCCTGCTGCTCTGAGGCCCCTCCTTTCTCATCCTACAGAGAAGGGTCTCATGGGAACAAAATGTACAGCACCTTTTTTAAGTTTCTAAAACCTATGGGAGCATTGATCCTTCCAGGCCTCTTATCTCCCTGTGATCCTTCATTCCCATGATGACTAGAATACCCCCTAGAAGGAGTAAGCAAGACCTAGACATCTTGTTTATGTGACAATCCTCTTTGGTCCTGGCTTCCTTTTAAATTTCATATATGTGTTTGGAACAGCTGACTAGGTGTAATGCAGCTGGTCTCTTCTTGCTCACAGTGGAAGGGATCCTGCTGCAGGGAATCTGCAAAAGTGTTTAGTCCATGTAATCCCCATCCCAGAGTTCTTGCTTCCAGGGCCACTTGGCCCCCTAACCTCTGCCATATGGGGGTGGGTGGGCTGGCGGAAGTGCCACAACACGCAGGCAGAATGTCATTGGTATAGAAAGGAGACCAGCATAGCGTACGTCTATAATAAATTACATAATGGTTTATTTATGAAACCATGTAACAGTGACAAATATTTCTCTGTTTTAGGCATGGTACCAAAATGGAACTGCAAAATAAGTTAAAAAGCCAATGAACCATTAGAGTGGAAGCTGTAATTAATTAATCACTTAATTACTACTACTACTATTACTACTACCATTATTAATTAATTAAATGCACATCCCACCAGGCTGGTATATATACAAGTGATGCAATATCTTTAAAACAGTTCCAACCTATATGCAGACTGGGAAAGATTACAACTTAAAAGGCTTGTTGGAAGAGGAAGGTCTTCAGTATTCGCTGAAAAGGCAACAGGGACGTCTCCTTTCTAATATTTAACAGGAGGGAATTCCAAAGGGTAGGAGCCACAACACTAAAGGCATGATCCCTTTATTGTGCAGAACGGACCTCCTGATGAGATGGTATCTTTAGGAAGCCCTCACCTGAAAAGCACAGTGATTTCAGGTATCCTGGTCTAGGTATGTGAGGTGAGAATATTCTCTGGAGAAAATTCTCTGCTAGAAAATTCTCCTGGAGAAAATTCTTTGCTAGAAAATTCTCCTGGAGAATATTCTCCACAAACTGTAAATTCTAATGGAATAACCAGTTTTACAACCCACATTTAAAAAATCTAGTAAATAATAAGTCAAGCCGTGATATTGCCAGTGTAAGTAATGAATAATGTTTTGTTTTGTTTTGTTTTGTTTTGTTTTGTTTTAATCCAGTTACATTACTGGGCATTGTGTCATTCACCATTGGCAGTTCTGAAATGTGAGCTACAGAAAACCGTTTTTGTTTTGTTTTAAAAATGCTGTTCATTTAATTTGATGAACATTTAAATTCGTATGTATTTCAACTATATGTAATAGCCTTTTTTTCTATTTTGGTGTGACCTTATTCTTAGCAATTCTATACCCT